TGTTGCAATGCATACTGAGCGAAATGCTTGAAATGGTGAAAGTGACCGCGGAACAGATGGACGTTATGAGAGGGACCATGGCGTTGAAAGGTCTTACGTTGACAAGACTACACAGGGAAAGTGACCGAGAGGTCTAATGTGACACAAGAAAACCTGACGAAAATCTGAGTCACTCAAATAAAAAGTAGCAGACAATGTTTACTGTGCTCCATGGCATTGGCAGCTGTGCAGGCAGAAAATTATGAATTTTCTTAATTAGTCAAACAGATGCTACTAGTTAGTGGAGAAGGGTTTCTGGTTAATTGTTTTAGCTGCACCATATCTAGGATTACTATCATTTTGATAATTAAGGGGCTAATTTTCGTTGTTGACAGCTCCGACATAGAGCGCGCAGAAGTAGCTAGAGAGGAGATTTGCTCACTCGCACGAGAACCAGAATTACAAGGTCAGTTATCGTATTTATAGCACTGTATAACCAAAGGGCGGAAGTGGCAAGTGGCACGCTTACCACGCGAGCGGTCCGGGGATCAAATCCTGGGTCGTGAGTCGCCCGGGCCAACCAAGCCTTCCATCCCTCCGGGGTCGGTTAATTGGTACCAGACTTGTCTGGGAGGATAAAAAACTGACTTGTACATCGGCTGGCCCCCGCAAGTCATTGTATAGGCCACATCGCATTCAAACGCCACTACGAATGTACAAATGGAAGTAGAATGCGTGCCGCATCCCAAAAAGGGATTGATCAACGGCAAATTATCCTTTTTTTATCCTTATAACACCAAAGTGTAACATAGTGTGCGTCAAAAGGGTCGATTCGATCTTCCGGGAAATTTTGACTGGGGAAGCAGTGTTGCAATCACACATTTTCTTGACGGATCGCGATTTAGCTATGGTGCGAAAGGGGGGGGGTGGTGGGGCTTTGTGTAAATCTGCCTACGCTCAATGACAGTGTTGTGTGATTCCCCAGGTTTGCAAAATAAAATGTAGCGTTTGCAAGCGATCGTACGCGCTCACATATTCGAAGATACTACACTGCGTCCCATAATTATAACTCCACCTAAGAATTTCCCAAAATCTCACAAATTTAGATGTTTTAGAAAAAGTCTCCAATGTGGCAGTGTGTCAAATACAAATACGAAATTGCCTATAAACATCAACTTCCAACTTGAGATCCCAGGAATTTTTTCTAATAATTTTTGTTCAAAAGGCCACTTAGCCGACGTCCCAAAATTATAACTCCACCTCATGTTTTTCTATTATTTTTCACTTCCGTTTCGCCAAACTTTTTTATTGTGCTAACATCCTACTTCTCAAGGGGACAGTATGATAGAAAATGCTGTCTGACTTTTTAAAAGGTCAGGTCGTCGCAAAAACTGTTGAACAACGCAATCGCGCCAGATTTGGACCAAATTCACGCCAAGCTCAAGAATTTTTCAGGGGTCTTACACGATATGGAGCTTACGAGAGCTCTTAAAGCAACAATCCAGGAACGAATTCGCGGGTAAGGACCACCTATAATGACGTTGCAGGTGAGAAGTTGGTCAATGGAGAAAGAAAAAGTAGAAAAAAACGTCGGGCAGGGGCTTAGACAGGGACTCCCCCTGCCGTTTAGGGAGACGTGCGTTGGACGAGTTGTCCGAACCTGCCCTAGTACATGCGCTCCCAATTGCTCTGCTGGCAAATAGCCATGCATGCTTGCAAATACATAACTATTTGCCAGCAATCGAAATTGAAGCGCTTAAGTTGCGCTCTCATGGAATCGACCTGATACAGCGCGGCGGTCCCGCAACGACCGCTATTCGAGCAAGCGCTCTTCACAGCAGCAAGGAGGCGGGTCAACCGAGGCTCGGTTGACCCGCCCTTTTCGACGAACTTCGAGCCCTTCTCACGCATTTCAGAGGTGAGTTTTTACTTCAGTGACAGTTCCTTTCGACTTCACTTGGGCTGGGGCATGCTTCCACACCTCAGCTTTGGATTAGTTGAAACCCTCCCTGGACTGTTGCTTTAAGGTTCTCATTAATTCGATTAAAACAAAGGCCGTGCCACAGAGGAAACATTCGTTTTTAGTAAGCCGTGCTCTGACATCGAATCTTCTTTGAAACTTAATGTCTCAACGGAACATTGTTTCTTGCTTTGCGAACGAATCCCAAGTCGATTCTTGAGTGGAAAACTTAGAAGGCATCATCTGTGGCAAGAAAGCATTGCGAAAGTCGGGCTGAGATTTCCATGAAGGTGCATCGGAGCTGACTTGGAGTAAGGTTTGCTTTTACTTGATATTTCGTATCTTTCTTATCCTTAGCAGCTTTTCTCTTCGCGAAACACTACCAGGAGAAAGGAAATGGCGAAAAGAAAAACAAACAAATGCTACAACATATCAAGTAAAAGCGAACCTTACTCCAGTCAGCTCCGATGCACCTTCATGGAAAACTCAGCCCGATTTTCGCAATGGTTTCTTGCCACAGATGATGCCTTCTACGTTTTCCACTCAAGAATCGACTTGGGATTCGTTCGCAAGCAAGAAACAATGTTCCGTTGAGACATTAAGTTTCAAGAAGATTTGATGGCAGAGCACGGCTTACTAAAAAGGATGTTTCTTCTGTGACACGGCCTTTGTTTCTATCGAAAATCAATGAGAGACCTTTAGAGCTCTTCTAAGCTCCATATCATGTAAACCCTGAAGAAATTCTTGAGCTTGGCGTGAATTTGGTCCAAATCTGGCGCGATTGCGTTGTTCAACAGTTTTTGCGACGACCTGACCTTTTAAAAAGTCAGACAGCATTTTCTATCATACTGTCCCCTTGAGAAGTAGGATGTTAGCACAATAAAAAAGTTTGGCGAAACGGAAGTGAAAAATAATAGAAAAACATGAGGTGGAGTTATAATTTTGGGACGTCGGCTAAGTGGCCTTTTGAACAAAAATTATTAGAAAAAATTCCTGGGATCTCAAGTTGGAAGTTGATGTTCATAGGCAATTTCGTATTTGTATTTGACACACTGCCACATTGAGACTTTTTCTAAAACATCTAAATTTGTGAGATTTTGGGAAATTCTTAGGTGGAGTTATAATTATGGGACGCAGTGTATAATGGATATGGATAATGTGAAAACGGGCTGTCCAGCGGTCGCCAAAGCGGCTCCTATCTACCCCTTTCGAGAAGACATGCTCGTGCATGGAATACAGGTTGGCGAAAAATTACGGGCGCCACGAAGAGTATCCTGACTTTATTTTTTGTTCATAGACAAGAAAGACAACACTGTTGTGACTCTGCTTCCAGAGCACCAGAGCTTTCTTGAAGACCTCTTCATGATATATCTTCGCATTGATTTCCATGATTTTATCGATAAAAATCAATGGAGGGTTGCCCAAAGCACTGATACTGCTCCAAATCATCAAACTTTCAGCGAACGGAATTCTTGCAGGTATTTTCCAATTACAAATGTTCCCAAGAGTTGAGCAAAAAAGTTGATGGTGATTTAGGAGTTTTAGCTGCTTAAATGGGAGAATTTTTTCGTCAAACCAGACGACTCTCCAGCTCCGCCGCACCATCGACTCGATGTCGAAACTAATTCATTCAGATCTCTATGAAAAGTCACTTCGCTGCTTTTCTTTTATAATTATATTGAATGTTACGATTGGTTAGCCTAGTCTTCATAATTCAAGATAAACTCAGAATCGCGCTCTGCAAGAAAGTCTATGTCGATAGGTGAGTGAGACCATGCGTGCAAGCAAATTCTATAAAAAAAGGGTATAATAGAAACGTCACCTTCTGGTGAGAGGCGCTTTTCGATTTTATTCTGTACAGGAATATGAATCTCACAAATGTAAATGTAAACGCCACTATGTTAAATAAAGAACTCGCAACGAATCTCCGTACTGATTAACAACCAATCCCTGTCCTTATTGTTTCACCTTTACACATCGACACACCTTAACCTACTCACGGTTATGCAGGCGTGTTATTGTTTTAGTGGGGAATGCGGGGCGTGCGTAAAATACAAATTACGGAACGACGGCAGACAACGGGAGAATATGGTGCCAAGAAGTGTGGCGGCTTGAATAGAAGAACTTCAGTGCCCATTTAGTCTATAGCGAGACATCCCTGCCTCGGGTCTTGTCGGCGCGAGCGGTGAGTAGACGCGGTGCAGACTTATCATCGATCTCAGTGGTGAGCGCGCTGGCCTCATCTGCTAGAGCGCGGTATACTCCATGTAGAGCCGTATTTTAATATCTACATCTCACAGTATATTGGTCTCGTTTTAGCCAAAAAACTCCCATGTTTAGCTTCATCAGGAGCTGAGCAGATATTTCGCAGTGTCATATACCTGATTAACTACTCTCGTAACTTTGCCCAGAAGCATACTTACACGTAGTATTCGACGTCATCATCACGACACTCATTCTCTGAAGGTTGTGTCGCGCACGTGACCCGGGCGCAATACCACCATTCGTGCATACAATAGACCAGAAATGAGGACTGGCACAGTTGTGACAGCTGAAGCTGTTACTGGAATAATTTTACCCTTGTTCTAGATGTAAAGTTGTTGATATTCGCCAACAAGCAAGACCTTCCGAACGCTATGACAACAGCGGAAGCTCGAATGAACCAGCGGTTCTGGACTGGAAGGCAACTGAGGGCCAGAGAGGTTATCGGGTTCCATGTGTGAATGAATATTATCCTCTCTCATGAATGTACATTTTTAGTGGCACGTCCAGCCGACAAATGCCGTCACTGGAGAGGGTCTAATGGAAGGTCTCGAATGGCTCCACCACTCTGTTGTCATCAAATAAGTGAATGAATACTGAATGACCGGAGTGGAAAATGCGGGCGCATCGCGGGACTTGAAGTTTCGAGCTTGCTACGACTCTCGACTTGCGTGCCATTCTTTTTGTGTTCGAATTTTTCAGATGTCCATTAATCTCTATTATTAATAGAAAGCAGTATGTGTTGTTGTGCGTGCTTTTTTGTTTTGTCAAATTAAAACTTGACTTGTTTTCATGACTTCTGCTGTCCTAGGAGCGTTATGAGGAACTGCATGGAATTTATCGATGACCCTTCAGGCAGTCAGTAGCAGAAAAGCAACTGTACAGGTAGAGCTGCGGTTGGTTAAAAAAACTCTCAACTCTCAGACACTGCTAGCCACTTCACAGGATCCATTGAGTTTTTCAATCTGCCTTCCATCACCTTTTGTTGCGGAAGATCGTAGTGATTCGCGTGAAGTTCCCTCAGATCTCCCGACTCGTCACGTGCACTTCTGACGTTCCGGCCTTCCCCCTGATTCTGCGATAAGCGTGTGTTCACGCGAATCGTGGTGCGGTGTAACGAACCTTTGATACATATTGACTACTTTTAACACTTCGAAATTTCTTCGGATATAAAGGTGACATTCGGGGAAACTGACCTAGTTGGGAAAAAATAGTTGTTAAAATAAGGAGCTCAATCTGAAGAAGGTGACAGTGTTTTTTCGTTTCATTTGAGAAACCGAATTACGATTAGTTGCGATAAGTGGCCCACCTACCCTGCGTCCTGAGTGTTCGTGATGCTAGCAATTCAGTGGACAGTATGGCCCGCTGCGGTTAGTTAGTTGTTTCAATCTCTTAGACTCCGAACAGGCGATTCGCTGAATGGCCCGCCACGACCCTATAATAACATTCGCCGGAAGCAGTTGTAGCAGCAAATATACTACTTATACTCAAGCCACGAGGTCGTTCTGAAAAAATTTTCTATGGGTCATTGGCGACATAGATAACCCTCAATAACTTTGCGTAGACGTTAATCGTGCGCGTGAGTTCTAATTAGCGAGCGATAGCTCGCTAGTGGTACCGTCAGGAATTTTAATAATTCACGAAAAATCGAATAAAGCGTTTACAACACCTTGGATTATTACAGATTCTCAACGGCTTGGTTTGACAATCGAGACAAGCCGACTTTACAAGCAAGAAGAACCAGGATTACTCCGCTGCATCGAGCATGCCGACGGTAGATTAATGGTTCAAAAAGGTGTTTCATGGCTAGTCGACCTCTGATGTTTACGGACGCACGAGCTGAAAGTACCCACAATGAACGCATTAGGACTCCATTTCTGTCAAACGTTGATCAAGTCCACGATGTTGTAGTGCCACGCCACCAAGCCTTGCCCCTTTTTTATGAAAGTTGGACTCTTTCGTGTCTCAACAGTGAAGGAGGTGAGCCAAAACGTGGAATTGTGAAGAGCTTGCGGAAAAAAAATCGATAGGAGCACATCTTCTCACCGCTCCCACCTTACGCGTGTTAGAAAATTCCATCTACCAAGTTACTGAGCTCTCACACTGTTCGCAAGTAATCATATAGTTTCCGAAACCTCGGCACGATATAGTGGTCAGTATTGTGCTGAACTCTAGTATCGCGATTGTTATTTAGACTTTCATGACTGACGATTCGGCGAGATTGCCTTCTTCACAGCTTAAAAAATTTGAAACAATCTATTTAGTATCAATACTAATTCACACGCCCACTACTTCAACAATCTGGATCAAAACAGATCATTACGCAGTCATGAAGTGGACCACTTATCGTAACTTATGTAGTTCGTTTTTGACAAAACCCTGAAACAGAAACCTCGGCACGATATAGTAGTGAATATTCTGCTAAACTCTTCACGCGAATGTTATTATATTTCATGGCTGACCATTCAGCGGAATCGCCTCCTTCGGAGTCTAAAAGTATTGAAACAATCTAACTAAACCGCAGGCCCCACTACTCCACTGAAATTGTAGATCAAAAGCCCATCAGTACGCAGTCGTAAGATGGGCCACTTATCGTAACTTATCGTTAATTCGGTTTCGAAATACACCCAATCAGTAGTAAACCAGGACAAGTAGCAATCCGGACTGAACTTAGTTCTCAAATGAAACGAAAAAAACACTGTCACCTTCTTCAGATTGAGCTCCTTATTTTAATAACTATTTCTTCCCAACTAGGTCAGTTTCCTCGAATGTCACCGTTATATTCGAAGAAATTTCCTCTTAACCAACCGCAGCTCTACCTGTACAGTTGCTTTTCTGCTACTGACCGCCTGAAGGGTCATCGATAAATTCCATGCAGTTCCTCATAACGCTCCTTGGACAGCAGAAATCATGAAAACAAGTCCAAGCTTTAATTTGACAAAGACAAAGGACGCACGCACAACAACACATACTGCTTCCTATTAACAATAGAGATTAATGGACATCTGAAAAAATACAACAAAAAGAATGGCACAGTAAGGCGAGAAGTCGAAATTTCAAGTCTCGCGATCTCCGCATTTTCACTGGTCATCAGTATCCATTCACTTCATTTGATGACAACAGAGTGGAGCCATTCGAGACCTTCTATTAGACCCTCACCAGTGACGGCATTTGTCGGCTGGACGTGCCACTAAAAATGTACATTCATGAGAGAGGATAATATTCATTCATACATGGAACTTGATCACCTCTCTGGCCCTTATTGCCTCCAGTCCAAGCGCTTTTATCGCTTCCGCTGTTGTCATAGCGTTCGGAAGGTCTTGCTTGTTGGCGAATATCAACAAGCTTTACATCTAGAAGCAAGGGTAAAATTATTCCCTGTAACAGCTTCAGCTGTCACAACTTCTTCAAATGTATGGCCCATCACCGACACAAATTACAGAGAATGATACTGTGCCACTCAATCCTTAATTATTGCATTATCCAGAGAGAAGTCATGTGAGCGACTCTTCGTTCTGTATGTAGGAACATGGAGTAGAATCATAGACGCGGCACTCATGGAACACTCCCAGCAAGGGCTGCAGGGCCCCACAAAATTAGCTGCAGCACGTTCCCGTCCGCGGCAGGCTGTTTTCTGTCCCTCTCATATGCAGTGGTCTCTCAAGCCACACTCTCTTCTCCACGCTCTCTCATTGCCTTAGCGCAGCCGCTGTACCAGGTGAGCAAGAAGTCAAAATAGGTGTTTTCGACAGATTCTTTTCCTTTTTTTACTACCGGTCCATTTCACACCTACACGCTCATACTCATTTGCACGAATTACACCAGTTCAATCCTGAGGCATGCCTTCGAAGGAAGGTGCGCCTGGGAAAATTCACATGGTCAAAATCTCCACGCATTCCAAAACCTCAATGAATACAGGGTGGCGAAAAATTACGTGCGCCATGAAAAACGTCCTAACTTCATTTCTGGTCCATGAAAATTCGAAGGAAACTAATTTTATAAAACAGCAAACACTAACATTCAATAATTATTGAAAAAAAGCAGCGAAGTGAGTTCTCATAGAGATCTGAATTAGTTTCGACATCGAGTTTGACGAAAAATACTTCCATTAAAGCAGCTTAAAACTCATAAATCACAATCAACTTTTTTGCTGAATTCTTGGGAACATTTGTAATTGGAAAATACCTGCAAGTATTCCGTTCGCTGAAAGTTTGACAATTTGGAGCAGTATGAGTGCTTTGGGCAACCCTTCATTGGTTTTTATCCACAAAATCATAAAAATCAATGCGAAGACACATCATGAAAGGCAAGAAAGCTCTGGTGCTCTGGAAGCAGGCTCACAACAGTTTTCTTTCTTTGTTTACGTCCAAGAAATAAAGTCAGGATATCCAAGGAGAGGTGAGTGTGGCTGAAGAGCATAAACTGGACTTGATTTACTCAGGCCTGTTGTGACACAAGCCACCCCCGTGTTTGAATCAACCGTCTAGCAGATGTCGCGTCGAAAACTCTATTAGGTTGGTCCATGAGTCTTGTGAACCAAGTTATGAAATTTCTATTAAGCACTGCTTTTTTAGAGAACACACGCCCACTCCTTGATATATGATGCACCCATACTACATCTGACCGTTCTCTTCAGGTGAATTTCCAGGATATAGGGAATTTCGTGACACACACAGCGCATTATATTAGGTTGGTTCATATGTCTTGCATCAAAATGACTAAATTTCGATTTAATATTTTTATTATCTTTTTGTTCCATTCATACGACATAATACACACCATCAATATCGACAC